AGGAAGGAGAAATTGACTACCCAAAGTTATTTGGCCAAGACATGGCTAACGGAGGCCAACTCTAGAACCTAAGCTTTCTCTAAATAACGAATGAACCATAAAGAGGTGCTTTTCTGAAGTGTCCTGGGCTGGACAGAACATTTATTCTGGCAACCGGGCCCTATGCCAGGAAGAAACATTCCTTAAGTGCCATCAAACTGCCGTTTTCCCTGGGAGAGTTAACCATCATTAGCAAATAGCTTCATTTGCAGCGTTGTGTGCAGCCCACGGTGGTGGGCCAGAGCAATGCATTATCACTAACTGAAAGAGATTAATTGAGTGGGGAGTTACATGCTTCCTGCTTTAAAACACTTGCAGGTAACCAAGAGTACTGTGCTTTCTGTAAATGCCATTTGTCTGCTCCAGGTACCCCGTGTCAGTGGGTTTCTCCACCTTCCATCACACAATTTCTCTGGGAAGAACACCCCGGAATTGGCAATCACAATGCCCCTGCAGAGACTATTCTAGGCAAATTGACTCCCCAACTCCCCCCTTCTCCCATCTCCTTTCTCTCTCCTAAGCTTGTGCTTGTTGACTCCTGGTAGTATCTCTTAGCAGGTCTTACCACCTGCTCCACCTAAAGGAATCCCGAGTGCTGTCTTAGTTTGAATCTCAGCTCCATGAAATGTCACCTTGTCAAGAAGCATCACAAGAATTACAGATAAAAAAGAACAGCTTACCTCTGCCTCCCTTCCCAGTGTCGTTCTAATATACATCTGACTGGGGGTGGGGCTTGGAGAGGAGGTGGGAGGAGCCTGTGAAATGTGGATTCTGGAATCCCTGCCTTGAGAGTGTTATTCTGAGAACAGCTGAAACTCATTTGTGTTGTTTTTTGATAGTCTTCCAGATGATGTGAATCAGCTGGGTAAGGTAACGTCTCTGTGATCTTCACTGAAAAATGCTATCCCCTCCAATGCACTGCCCTGAGCTTTCTTTTCCCTGTTGCTCAGTTTCCTCATCTCTAAAATGAGAACAGAATTCCAGCCTGACCTGTCCCACAGCTCAGCTCTGTCCACTAGGCCAGTGGTTGGCAAACTGTGGCTCATGAGGCACATGCAGCTTTTTGGCCCCTTGAGTGTGGCTCTTCTACAAAATACCATGTGTGGGTGCGCACGTACAGTGCGATTGAAACTTCGTGGTCCATGCGCAGAAGTCGGTTTTTTAGTCTCAAATGAAATTTCAATCATTGTATTGTTGATATTTGGCTCTGCTGAGTAATGAGTTTGCGGATCTCTGGACTAGGCAATATCCCTACCCTGGGTCACAAACATCAGAACAGAAGAGCCAGATTGAATGCATGTCTGTTCTTTCCACCAGGGCATCCTTGACGCTGCCCCTCCTCTTCTGCTTAGCAAAGAACAGCTTCCTTCACTTGCTTCTAGAAGAAGTGTGACAGTGCCAGATACTCTCTTGAAGCAGGAGAGGGCAAGGGAAGAAGATAGAAGAGAGGTTTCTTCCATGGAAGGCAGCTAAGAGCACGGGATCTGCAGTTAATCAGTATGGGTACCCATCCTGCACCCCAACCCAACTCTTGCTCTCTATAAAAATGGGGTACCTTATCTAACCTGTGTCTGAGATCCCTCGTCTGAAAAAATGCATATAACACTTCCACCCTATCTGGTTTGACTCAGTGGATAGAGAGCTTGGCTTGTGGACTGGAAGGTCCTGGGTTCAATTCTGGTCAAGGGTTCAATTTTCCAGTAGCGGGTGTGCAGGAGGCGGCAGATCAATGATTCTCTCTCATCATTAATGTTTCTGTCTCTCTCTCTCCCTCTCCCTTCCTCTCCTGTATATATGTACCTACTTTCACAGAGTGGTGTGAGAATTCAATGCATCATAGGGCTTCTCTTCTGCTTTTTTGGTGGTAAATTAGTCAGCTAAATGTACCTTAAACCTTCACCACTGAGGTAAACAGCAATGGCCCTACACCACAGCTACAGAGGATGGGCTTGCTAGAGCAGAGACACTTAGCAGAGATACGCTAGCTGTGCTCAACCTCTTGTTAGCACTTGGGCTTCGAACCGCCAGCTCCTGCAATGAGATGTGCCGATTGGCTGTGACGGCAGACTAGATCTATTGCCAATGAAACACTTGGGCAATGCACACAGCAGAGCATCTTGCCTTGGTTAAGTGACTCTGACACAAGAGGATAAAAGACAATATCTTCATCCTCATTAAGAGATAACAGATGGACTTCCCTAATATCCATTTTTTAGCCTAATTTCATTTGTTTAAATCTTTGCCTGATGAGATGGCGTTCTGAGAGTAATTTTAAATTGTTCTGCCTGGAACAAATATTTCTTTAACTTTATTAGACCCTCTCCCTAAGGGGTTCTGTTGTCCTGGGTGGTTTTAAATATTCATCTCATCCAAATACAATAAATCTTTCTTTAATAATTTTTTTCTCCAAGACGTGGTCTGTGGCTTTGCAAGGTAAACATTACGTGATAAGCTAAATAATAAAACCAAGTCAAAACAAGTTATAAGCTGTTTTCTTAGTAATTACGATTTTTCGCAAGTTCCCTGTGGTTGTATTAATTCTACTTTTTTTCATGATTTAGACAAAGATGACTTCATTGTACATTTAAAGCTTCTAAATTTATGCCCACCTCAGCTAATACTTCATAGCTAAAATATAAAGTTCTCTTTTGTACGCTTATTCTTCCCTTTTCCAAGGAAGTTACATGCAAACATTTTTTTTAAAAAGCAGATTGCTATCTAAGTTTATAGTTTCACGTTTCTTGAGACGTCAACCTCCTGAATTAACTTTGCTTCTTGGCCAACTCAAGTAGGGTGTGTTCAATATACAGGAGAGTGCTTCAAAGTAATTACTGCCTGCCTCCAGTAGAGAAAACGGAGATACCTTTGAGCATTTCTAGAAAGCTCTAGAACAGTCTAAACACACAGGGGTTTTTCTCAGAGGCTGAAGGTGACAATGCAGCATTTGTAAATGACAAACCTTGGTCACCTGTGCCTCTCTAGATGGGTGAACACGGCTAGTGAGTCAAAGCCACCAGTGGTACACTGTGTCTGCTTCATCCCTTCAGGTCACAAGGGGACACGAGGGCACTCAAAAGCCAGGATAAACACCCAAGGGTCCAAAGCTCATGCCTCTCCAGGCCCATCAACTTGGTATTGTCAAAGCAACATATCAACCTGATGGCAGGTTTAGCACCTGCACTTGAGGTTGCTATAAGAAACAGACATCCTTCTCTCTTGAATCTTCACTTTTTCACCCAGTGATGTATTTTATTTTTTATTTATTTTTTAAATATTATTTTAAAAAATAATCTTCACCTGAGGATATTTTCCATTGGTTTTTAGAGAGAGTGGAAGGGATGGAGAGAGACACAGAGAGAAACATTGATGTGAGAGAGACACATTGGTTGCCTCTTGCACATGCCCAGACCAGGGCTGGGGGATCAGCCTGCAAATGAGGAACATGCCCTTGACCAGAATTGAACCCAGAACCCTTCAGTCCACGGGCAGATACCCTATCCACTGAGCCAAACTGGCTAGGGATTGTGTGTGTGTGTGTGTGTGTGTGTGTGTGTGTGTGTGTGTTTTAATGTTCCATGGAGAACATTTCCCCACATCTCAGAACAAGAAACCCCATGCCCTTCCTAAAGGTCTAGATTACTTTCATCTGCACGAACAAACTGATCGTGTACCTCAGAGATATTTCCCCTGCCTTCACATTGACTGTGAAAACAAAGAGCAGATTGTAGAGAGAGCAAAAGTTAGGTCCCACCCCTGCAAGTATCATCGACACACACTCTATGTTGTATGTTTGCCCGTGAACTTCGCTTCCTGTCAGTTTTCATTTCCCTATTCAGATTCCCAGCTGCCTCAAGATTTTAATGCTGCCTTGAATCTCTGTGACCAGCCCCTTTATGGGAAGAAGAGATTTGGATAATATGCAGGATATGCTTTCTTTAGAAATGAAATGAACAGCATGTCCCTTTTGCATGTTTTTGCATAATAATAAAAATGTAAGACAGAGTGCAAGTTCTCAAAGACACTAATATCACCAGATAGCTGTTCTTTGGAGACTCAATAGTAGTGACATTAAGTGCAATCAAAGAAGCGTTAGGCACAAAAAAATGGACAGAAAGACCAACATAGGTTATTTTAACAAATCCGGAATGTTTACATTTTTGCATGTCATTTATGAAAAAATTGTATTGAACATATAGTTTTAGACAGTCTATAATTAATGTGTAAAATACATTGAACTCTAAAAAACAAAATAAAAAAAACATCTATAAATTCATCTCTCCAAATTAACATGTATTGATAGGATGAGGTCTCTATTTTCTGCCTATATGTGTGTATATGCATGTGTGAGGCTCAAATATGTGAGCGATAGTTTCTATATTGTATATAACCGTGGTTGGCAAACTGCAGCTCGAGAGCCACATGCGGCTCTTTGGCCCTTTGAGTGTGGCTCTTTCACAAAATGCCACGGCCTGTGCAAGTCTATTTTGAAGAAGTGGCGTTAGAAGAAGTTTAAGTTTAAAAAATGTGGCCCTCAAAAGAAATTTCAATCGTAGTACTGTTGATATTTGGCTCTGTGGACTAATGAGTTTGCCGACCACTGGTATATAACATATGTTAGTGTCTGTTTTAATTATAGTGTATAGTCCCTGAGTTCTATTTATTACCCACCCTTTCATACTAAATCTTCCCTCATAGTTTAACATGCACAACATTGTTTCTTAATGGTGAATAACGGGTATAGGTTATAATAATATTTGGATATAAGAATGTTGCAACCTTTAGTAAGTTAACCCAATGTAAGTTATTTCTTGCTGAGGCGATTCATCAAAGGCTCCTTGGGAATAATAAAAGAGTTTCCAATGCCATGCTCTCTAATGCAAACAGGGACCCTTGATCACGTGATCACGAGGCATAAAGCGCACCCAGTCACACAAGGAAAATAATGAAACCCAGGCACTTACTAATTTCAGTAGCAATGATCGTGATGTTGTGCCATACACTTAACTCTCTGTCAAGCGGCGTGGCCAGCGTGATCTTGCCATCATCTGCATTAATGTTGAATTGCCTCTCCAGGTCAGTGTGCCGGTCGATGGAAAACCTACAAAACAGATAGACCTGTAATCCACTCCCATGCTCACGTGATCCAGGCAGCCCCCAGCAGACCTTTAGTCATCCTCGGAGAGCCATCATCCTGAAGCCAAATGAATTGGGAGACTCGGTGGCATCATTATTTGCAAAACAAAACGACTGGACGAGGCACTAGGAACTTGATAATCACCGTCCAAGGAGTAATTAGCTACCTATGCAGCAAGAAGGTCAGACATCCCGCCACTGGTTTCAATGGGTAGCATCTTCAGAAATGGATGTTGATGAAGAGTTAATTGGGCAATCCATCACATTTATTGGACAGCTTATGGTAATTAGCAGTTGCCACAAAATATCATCTAAGAGGATAAACTCAAGCTCAGCGCAGAATGCGGCCAGGCAGTTCAGAGGAAATGGGTGTTTGTGTTAAACTTCCATTGGATCAGAGACAACATGTGTGGATTCATTTTTGCTGGTATGTTTTGTTTTTATTTTAGGTAAAGTATATATTTAGGCTTTCTATCAGTCTCTATCCATCTGATTTATCACTGATTCTCCAGTAATAAATTTTTAAAAGTTGGAAGAGCTATTTTAACTGATTTATACTACTAGATTCCATGAAATTAAATATTTTAAATGGATTTGTTATTGAAAAAAAAATTTTGGATAAGACAGTAGTATGTCTACAGCCAACTGCTTCTCTAGTGTACTAAGTATTAAAATTACATAGGAATTAGTTTTCCATAGTATTTATCAATATCCACATTATAAATCAAGATCTGTGCTTTCACTATGAAATGTCAGATATCAGAAACACAAGGTATAACTAGAAAAATTGGCCATAAGTCAGCAGTGGAATGAACTGAAACAGGATAGAATAAAAGCCCAAAGAAGGGCATTGTGAACTGAATTTCTGTGTCTCCCTGCAACTCATATGCTAAAAGCCTAATTCCCAATGTGGTAGAATTTCCAAGTAAGTCCTTTGGGTGATAATTATAATTACATTAGGTCCTGGGTGTGGGACCCTCATGATGGAATTAATGCCCTTATTTTTTTTTAAATAAAGAGTTGACACAGGGTCCCTCTCTTCCTGCCAGTGAGATGGCAGGAAGACAACCACCTGCAAAGCAGGAATCTGGTTTGGAGCCCTGGTCTTGGACTTCCAGCATCTGGAACTGTGAGAAATACACTGAGTGGCCAGATTATTATGATCTCTGAACGCATAATAATCTGGCTAGTCAGTGTGTGTATATATATATATATATATATATATATATATATATATATTAAAGGCCCAGTTCATGAATTCGTGCATGGGTGAGGTCCAGCCAGCCTGGCCAGGAGAAAGGGACATGGGCAGTTGGCCGGCCTGCCTGCTTGCTGATTAACCTCCTGGTTGAGGGGCCAATTGGCATATTAGCCTTTTATTATATAGGATATACACTGAGGGACCATATTATTATGCATTCAGAGATCATAATCATCTGGCCAGTCAGTGTACATTGCTGAGGTTTGGGCCACCAGTCTATGCTGTTCCATAACCACAACAGCTCAAACTAAGACAAAGGTCACGTACAATCCCATTTTAGGAGGAAGGACAGCCGGAAGCCTTTATGGTTAAGGTGGCCTCCTAAGAAATGCCCATGACATTTCTCCATTCATTGCTACCCTTGGACCCTAATAAGAAACTTGATTTGCAGGTACTGGTGCTGGGCATATTTTATTTTTTATATGTTTTTATGAACATTTATTATATAAACAAGTTTAAACTAAGAATCTAAGGGAAAAAATACATTTCCCACAATTTTACAGGTACAGTTTTATATTTTTAATATTTTAGTGGATTTCATTTCAAACAGAGCTCATTATGCATCTTTTTTTATTTCTGAATATCTAGTACTTACTTGTTTCTATATCTAATTGTGACAACAGATAGATGACAAGATAGATTGATAGATAGATGAGTAGGCAGATACATAGATAGATTCATAGATAGATAGGTAGATAGATGACAGATAGATTATTCCTTTCCCCCTTTAACAAATTCTTTTTTGTTAAAAATAGTATCCTTATCCTTTATATCAGATGCAAACACCAGGGAAAAAGGCATCTATGTTAAATCCTTCACACCAAAGACAAGCATCATTTAACAGTTTGGAATAATATTAAAAAGGACTTAATTTTATTGGCGACAATTTATTGCTAAATTCTTTGAGAAAATATTGTAAAATGAAATTATAACTCCTGATTCAGTGAAGAGCTACAAAAGAACACCAAGAAGCTGACTTACATCTATATACCAGGCATTATACACCTACCCACACCTTACCCCAGGATGCTTAGAGAAATTCAGAAAGGATTTAAGAACCCAGAAGCATATATATATATATATATATATATATATATATATATATGAATTAACAGTGCTCTGGACCGAATCCTGAGCCTGAGAAAGTGCTCACTGCAAAGCACTTCCATCTGTTGTATTACAAAAAGGAGACCAAAAACCATTTTTTCTGGGGGGTCATTCATGAGACCAATGAGGTCCCAAGTTCAACTGTAAAATAACGTGACACATATCATGTGGACTCTGACTCTTAAAAGAGCTACAAAATGTCTGGAGGATTAATTATCACTTTTGCATCATAAATAAACTTTGCAGGTATCGCTGGACTGTAGTAATTTTATTATCTCACTGCTGATATTTCACACATTCATGCATCAACCCATTTCCCTGAGGTCATAGCAAAGGAGAATCAGCCTAATCACTGGTCTTCATGGAACCCAAATCTGAAACAGGCTCCTTGGCAATTTGATGGATGTGCAGTAATTGTCTAGAACTTATAGCCCCAAGGAAGCACTGGAACAGTGACACGGTTGGGGATGGTGTTTGTTTTTTTAAGTTGTTTGTTGAATTCCTTATTTAAATTTGTATCATGCAGACTTCAAATTTGGAATAAACTCTATCTCCATTATTTATATATTTCTATTTCTGGGATAATGAATACATTCACTGAGCTTGAATTTCCTTTTTCTTTAATAGATTTTTATTGCTTTCAAAGAGGAAGGGAGAGAAAAAGAGAGATAGAAACATCAATGATGAGAGAGAATCATGGATTGGCTGCCTTCGGCATGCCCCCTACTGGGGATAGAGTCTGAAATCTGGGCATGTGACCTGACTAGGAAATGAACCATGACCTCCAGGTTCATAGGCCTATGCTCAACTACTGATCTATACCTGCCGGGCTGAGCCTCAGTTTCTTTACTGGTCAAATATGAAATACCCATATACTGGGGCAAGTGGAGGGATTGTGAAGACTAAAAATAAAGCACAAATCAGTCCCTGGTACTTAGCAGGCAATGAAGACATGTTCATCATCCTCATCACCATAATCACCATGGTCCATTACATGGAACTTTCACGAACTTCTCTACCTGAGAGGGCACCTTCCTTAACATTTTATAAATAGCATAAAACTGGGGAAACATTTGAGTATTACTTAACTCCCATAACTCTAACAGAGGTATTGTCGTTTTTTAAAAGTTCTAGCTCATGACAGACTTTATGGGGTGAGTCACAAGAATTTATAAAATCAGCTATAAATACAGCCTTTTGGTGAGATCAGAGGTAAGAATGTCATAATATTGTAAGATTACATAATGGGAGGAACCTGATGGGGGGGAAAATGACTTTGTTTAAAATTCAATTTAAAACCTACCTCAGAGCCCCTTGCTGCCTGAGTAGACAATGCACACATTTTATTGCCTAATAGACTTTAGGACAAAAGCTCCCAAGAATTGCTAAGCATGAAATTCAGTGTTTATCAATAAATTGGCTGCCTCCTATGCACGCACTACTGGGGATCGAGCCTGCAACCTGGGCATGTGCCCTGACCAGGAAACGAACCATGACCATAAAATCTTAATGTAGTCAACAAGCATGACTTAAGCATGCATTAAGCACCAAATATGTACCAAGCACAGTGCCTTTTCCTTCTGCCGGGTAACATTTGTTAAAAAAATTATATAGGTTTCATATGTATTCTATACAACAGCATCTGTACAGTGTGTTGTGTGTCCACCAGCCCAAATCAAGTCTCCTTCCATCACCATTAATCCCTCCTTTACCCTCTTCTCCCTGCTACCATCCTCTTCCATTTCCCTCTGGTAATCGCAGTGCTGTTGTCTGTGTCTATAATTCCCCCCCTTAATCTCTTAGGGCAGTGGTCGGCAAACTCATTAGTCCACAGAGCCAAATATCAACAGTTCAATGATTGAAATTTCTTTGGAGAGCCAAATTTTTGAAACTTAAACTTCTTCTAATGCCACTTCTTCAAAATAGACTTGCCCAGGCCATGGTATTCTGTGAAAGAGCCACACTCAAGAGGCCAAAGAGTCACATGTGGCTCGAGAATCACAGTTTGCCGACCATGGTCTTAGGGGAAAGACATAATTTGGCAAGTGACACTAGACAAAGATCCCCGAACTCTTTGTAGTGTGTGTCTATCCCAGTCTTCACCCCTTTCAACATTATCTGTGACTATGAGTATCTTCACAGAGCATAGATTCCAAGCTGAGGAGATGATAGGCGATACAGGGTTTCCTAGTTCCCTTCTCCCTACTCCCAAAGAGCCTTCTTAGTTCTTGGCTCTTGGCTCATCTTCCCTTCCTTAATTAAGGATGTCCTTTCTATTAGTCTAGTGTTAAGCATTTGCCAGAGTTTTGAACTTTTAAGACAAGGACAGAATGTTTGGTTTAGATATCATAATATCACATTAGATAGTATTTTGTACTATAGTTACTCAGTAATGGATCAGCAGAATGTGCACACATTTGTTAAGCACGGATTGTTATTATGTGTGAAACACAGTGCAAAAGAAATACGACGAAAAGGATTACATGGGATAGAACAGGAGTAAAAAGGAAAAAACTAATCATTATTTTGATTCCTAATGTATCTGCTGAAAAGTTCAATGCCTTCTAATTTATATCTTACAAGTCATTGCATTTATA